TATAATAATATATATATATACTAGCTGACCCGACAGACGTTGTTCTGTACCTACGTCTACAATTTTCAATATTTTATACTAATATTTACTGCTTAGTTAAAAATAATAATTACTGTTTTTTGAATTACTATTTACACCAATATATAAGTGATGTTGAATGTAGAACTGTTTCAAATAAAATGATTGTTCTCAATTCCCACGTTAACACTTTAATTATTATTTAACAAATATTAAAAAATGTTCAATAAATTGTATATTAAAAATTATACACTGCGATTTATAGAACAAATTTATTCCAATAGCTCAATTTATTTTATTGCATTTAAGGGTATATAGTATTTTAGCCATACTGTAGATGTGGAGTGTATAAATGAATGATTTTTTGTTTATTCACGACTAAAACATTGATTTTCCAAATTTATCACACTAAAAATGATCGTCTGCTTTTTGATTTATGGTCATAGCATAAGATACTCATGTTGAAAATTGAAATCTTTTAAAAAGTACAACAAATTCAGAAAGAATTAATTATAGCATTCGCGGCAAAGGTGCAATATCACCTTTTATTTTTCTCACCCAAAATAATTGCTTCAATAATGTTGCCTATAATTTTATAATTTTGTACCATATTTTAACTGGCTAATTTTAATATCTAAATTGCATTTTTTCTCTAATAAATCAATATACATTATTGCTTAAGTTTATATTGAAGTGAATTAATTTGTTCAAATCCTGTTCACATGTGCTCTATCCAATTACGATCAACAAAATTATTGCTCTGTAAATTTTTTTTACTGTGCTCCAATTTACTTGATATTTTGAAATAGGCTAATCTTATCTTAATTTCAATGTTTTAACAATTTGCACTCCGTCACCATCCACAGCATTAATTGGATTATTACTCTTTTAATTCTGATTTTATCAGAAACTTGTATATACACTATTTTAAAGGTGATTAAATGAGCTACACTTTCTCTATCATTATTTTACCGTAACTTCTCTTATTGTAAAACGGCGAAGGGTTAAAGGGCTCGAAAGATCTCTGGTTGGACAGCTCTTAATTAATCATACATCTATCAATATTTGTGTAACGAAAAAATAATAACAATAAATAATTAGTCAGAAAAATACCTCGAATTTTCTTTATATATATACTTTTATACGTATTTTTCAGAGGTATTTGATGAGAAATTGGTTGTTTTTTTTAAAATGTTTTTTTTTTCATGAAATCATGAGTTTTTAAGAATCATTTGTACTAAAGTTGTGGTATTTTCTAGAATCCATCAAGATCTCTTAAACCAAGTTAATTCTAGATTGAATACGATTATTTTTAATTTTGGTGGATATGGCACTCAAAGTATTTGATTTAATGAAAAAAAAACATTGCATGCGTCCTTTATCTGCATGATAGCTCACTCATTTTAACACGTCAGAAGTACTCATTTTAAAGCTTATTTTGAGCACTATAAAAACCCATTTTCATATCTAGCCTAATAATGTTCCTAAACACTATAAAATAACGTTTTATTAAGATTTTAATTGATATAATTCTGTTCATTACATGATTTTCGTTAAAATGTATATTTTTGAAGGTGTTAGCAACAAATGATGAAAAACGCAAAAAAGAAACAAATATTCAGTAGCCAGTAACTTGAAAAGTATTTCCTTTTTTGAAAAACATTATTAAATATTTTTCTCGTATAATTAGTTCTTTTATCGATACCCAACGTTATTTTGAAAAAAGTAAAATTACACCACTGAAAAGAAATGTCATCCACCCGAGAAGTGGTAAAGGAGTCTAAATTGTTTTCACTTCTGAAGAGTAAGGTGAACCTAGTTCCAAAATTCCAAACGAATTGGAAAATAGTAAAAAGTTCAGACCCAAAGCGCTCCATTGAGTAAATATTCCGTACCCAATGACAAACATATGAATTTTTGACACAATGAAACTTCTAAATAATTTTTTTTGTATTGCGACTTAGTATAGTAAGGCAAAACGACTGCAAATTGAATTTGTTGAGCGCAATCACTTATGGCTCGCTCCTTTGCGCGAATTCGTACGGCGAATCTGTTCGCAAAGTGCGCAAACAAAATTATTGCAAGCAAAAGCAAACCACGCGCACGTCAGACGCATGCGCAGACTGCATCACTTGTCAAATGCATGTTATATTATTTGCATCTTATATTAATTTAATTTTTGGCACATCTCAGCTGCTTTTCGGCATTAATAATGTAGACATTACATTTTCCTTATTCATAATTATGAATTATTATATTCTAATATTGCCTTAGCCTATAAGTGAATAGAAATGTTTGGCAAATGACAGTCCTCAATTGTTTTTAATGTCAAACTAAGCTTCAAATATTTTCAAGGGCAAACAATGATAAGCGGTTTTTTGTAATTTTTTCTATTTATTTCTACAATTTAACTATATTTCTATGAATCAAAACATTCTAAAAAATTTCCCGAACAAACTTCAGGAAGATTCATGAAAATCCGAATTATAGTTTAGGAGGAAATATGAAACTTACATTGTTACAGAAGAATTTTATATATAAGATATATATATATATATATATGTAAAAAAAAATATAATTACCTGTTGAAAATAGGGTTCCTCCTGAATAGCCCCAAGGGGTCCCGGTTGTTCAGGAGGTGTCAGTTCCACACTCTCTCCCGTAAACTCAGAATCAAAGTACCTCGTATCAGTGTCTGAGGTCACTTGGGGCTTGAAGGGGGGCATAATCTACAAATAATTCAAATTAGAATTAAATTTGATACTTGTGTCTTAAAAACATGGTGCTTCCACTAAAAAGGAGAACCCCCGGTTTATTTTTCTAGTATTTTGATGAAACTTTGCATTGTCATAGTGTTGATAGTCTAACCAAACAGGATAAAATATTATAGGCCTAAGAGAAGTGGTTTAATTATAAAAATTAATTAACCATCAATTTCATCACCATGAAAAGTTTCATCAAAATCCCAGAAGAGTAAACCTGAAGTTCTCCTTGTAAGCTATTATTATTATATTATCTATTATTATCTTCTATATATATAAAAATAAGTCGGGTTTTCCTTCCTGACGAAATAACTCCAGAACGCACGAACCGATTTCGACAATTTTGCATTCGTTGGAAAGGACTCGAGCTCCGCAAGGTTTATAGCTAAGAAAATTAGTTGTGCATGGCATCGTGCCTTAATGCAAGCTGCTGAAACTTCACGCACCGTAATTAAAAATTCGAGTAATGACATTAGTGACAATTATCAGAATTATGCTTGGTTAAGTCAACGAGCAATTCTTGCCGCAAAGAATAATGATGTACACGCACTGAATTTCACCATTCAATCAAAAATTGCTGGCGATTTGGTGACATACCAATGATTCCGACTGCTCTTCCGTTTGACTTCAAACGATTGCAATTTCCAGTTCGCAATGACAAGTCTCCAGGCCAATTGCTTAGTGTTTGCGGGATAAATTTCAAATAGATTATTTAGAAAATCATGGTTTTTCACATGGGCAGTTATACGTTGCCTGTTCACGAGTTGGAAAACCATCCGCTTTGTTTGTGTTAACGTCAGACCAAAAAACAAAAAAATTTGGTTTACCAAAGAGCACTTCAATGAAACGGATAATTTGCGGATTCACTTTCATTTACTTAAAGAAGTTCAACTAAAAGACACTTCATTTTTGTAATCAAAATAAATTCGTTACTGTTGTGTAATAAAATCAAATTTTTCCTTTTCAAATATGAAACAAACAAAAAATTTCTTCATCTTTCTCACGAAACCATCTGGTGGCGAAACAGAGTTCGTCGGGTTTGCCAGTTAATAATAATTATTTATCATTTATCCTTTCTATTACTTGTTTCTGTTCGAGTTCAGTCCAATTGATGGAGCTGAAGAAAGGATGGGCCATAATGTCCCTGACATCGTTCTCTCCTCCTCCTAAACGAGCAGCAGGATTTTTGGCTAATAAACCTGACAGGACGCTCTTGGCCTCAGGCGAGATTGTCCTGGGAAATTTGACTTCTTCGACTAAGATTAAGGTGAATAGGACATCGTGGTCTCTGTTGTAGAACGGTAACCTGCCGCACATCTGGAAAAAGATAAAGGATAAAGTATATATATATATATATATATATATATATATATATATATATATATATATATATATATATATATATAGTTAGATAAAGCAAGCATTTGAATAAATTTGTTTCGATAAAATTCAAACAGAATTTATAAGATTTAAGCAGATATTTTGAACACTAGTTAGAAATGATAAAATTGAGTTTAAAATTGCACAAGGTTGTTACAAACTGAAAAATCTAGATGGAAATGAGATAATCCAGCTAAAAAATGACAAAATCTAGTTAAAAAATAGCAGAAATTGCAAAATTCAGTTAAAAATTTCTAGATATAGTTGCAAATGGCAAAATCTTGTTAGGAATTGCAGAATCCAGTTGGAAATGGCAAAATCTAGTTGGAAATTGAAAAATCAAGTTAGACATGGCAAATCCTAACTAGAAAATAGCAAAAGCTGGTAAAAATTTATATTTATATTTTATATTTATATTTTATATTTATATTTTATATTTATATTTATATTTTATATTTTATATTTATATTCATATTTATATTCATATTCATATTTATATTTATATTTATATTTATATTTATAGTTGAACATTGAAAAATCGAGTTAGACATGGCAAATCCTAACTAGAAAATAGCAAAACCTGGTAATAAATTTCAGAATTCAGTTAAGAATTTCAAAATTTATTTAAAAATGACGAAATCTAGTTAAGAATTGTAGAATCCAGTTGGAATCGACAAAATCCAGTTAAACATGGCAAATCCTAACTAGAAAATAGCAAAAGTTAATAAGAAATTGCAGAATTCAGATAAAAGTTTCAAAATTTAGTTACAAATGGCACAATCTAGTTAGGAATTGCAGAATCCAGTTGAAAACGACAAAATCCAGTTGGAAATGTCAAAATCTAGTTAGAAATTGAAAAATTAAGTTAGACACAGCAATTCCTAACTAGAAAATAGAAAAAGCTGGTCAGAAATTGCAGAATTCAGTTAAAAACAGCAAAATTTCTAAATTTAGTTAAAAATGACGAAATCTAGTTAGGAATTGCAGAATCTAATTTGAATTGACAAAATCTAGTTGGAAACGGCAAAATCTTGTTAGAAAATTGAAAAATCAAGTTAGACATGGCAAATCCTAAGTAGAAATTGGTAAAAGCTTGTCCGAAATTGCAAAAATGGCAAAATCTAGTTAAATTAAAGCTGATAAGAAATTGCATAATTCAGTTAAAAATTTCAAAATTTAGTTAAAAATGACAAAATCTAGTAAAGAATTGCAGAATCCAGTTGGAAACTGGACTAAATCCAGTTGAAAATGACAAAATCTAGTTGGAAATTGAAAAATCAAGTTAGACACAGCAAATCCTAACTAGAAAATAGTAAAAGCTGGTCAGAAATTGCAGAATTCAGTTGAAAATTTCAAAATTTAGTTAAAAATGACAAAATCTAGTTAAGAATTGCAGAATCCAGTTGGAAACAACAAAATGCAGTTGGAAATGGCAAAATCTAGTTAGAAATTGAAAAATTAAGTTAGACACAGCAATTCCTAACTAGAAAATAGAAAAAGCTGGTCAGAAATTGCAGAATTCAGTTAAAAATTGCAAAATTCAGTTAAAAATTGCAGAATTCAGTTGTAAATTTAAAATCTAGTTGGAAATTGAAAAATCAAGTTAAACCTGGCAAATCCTAACTAAAAAAATAGCAAAAGCTGGTAAGAAACTGCAGAATTCAGTTAAAAATTTCAAAATTTAGTTAAAAATTACAAAATTTAGTTAAAAATTGAAAGATATAGTTGCAAATGGCAAAATCTAGTTAGGAATTGCAGAATCCAGTTGGAAACGACAAAATCTAGTTGTAAATGGCAAAATCTAGTTGGAAATTGAAAGATCAAGTTAGACATAGCAAATCCTAACTAGAAAATAGCAAAAGCTGATAAGAAATTGCAGAATTCACTTAAAAATTGCAAAATTCTGTTGAAAATTGCAAGATATAGTTACAAATGACGAAATCTAGTTAGGAATTGCAGAATCCAGTTGGAAACGACAAAATCCAGTTGGAAATTGAAAAATCAAGTTAAACATGGCAAATCCTAACTATAAAATAGCAAAAGCTGGTAAGAAATTGCAGAATTCAGTTAAAAATTTCAAAATTTAGCTAAAAATGACGAAATCTAGTGAAGAATCGCAGAATCCAGTTGGAAACGACAAAATCCAGTTGGAAATTGAAAAATCAAGTTAAACATCGCAAATCCTAATTGGAAAATAGCAAAAGCTGTTAAGAAATTGCATAATTCAGTTAAAAATTGCAAAATTCAGTTAAAAATAGTAATATATAGTTATAAATGGCAAAATCTAGTTAAGAATTGCAGAATTCAGTTGGAAACGACAAAAACAAATGGAAATGTTAAAATCTAGTTGGAAATTGAAAAATCAAGTTAAACATGGCAAATCCTAACCATAAAATAGCAAAAGCTGGTAAGAAATTGCAAAATTCAGTTAAAAATTGCAAGATGTAGTTGCAAATGGCAAAATCTAGTTAGGAATAGCAGAATTCAGTTGAAAACAACAAAATCCAGTTGGAAATTGAAAAATCTAGTTGGAAGTTGAAAAATAAAGTTAGACATGGCAAATCCTAACTGGAAAATAGCAAAAGCTGGTAAGAAATTACAAAATTCAGTTGAAAATTTCAAAATTTAGTTAAAAATGGCAAAATCTAGTTAAGAATTGCAGAATCCAATTTGAATTGACAAAATCCAGTTGGAAATAACAACATTTAGTTAGAAATTGTAAAGTTTGGTCAGAAAAATGTAAAATTTATTCAGAAATTGCAAAATCTAACAAGTACTTTCAAAATCTAGTCAAATATTTTGTAATATAGTTCAGAAATATGAATTTTAATCAGAAATGACCAAATCTAGTCATAAATTACCAAACTTAATCACCAAAAAAAAAAGAACTGCCATGTTTTATACTTATACGTATTGCCACGCTTTCTGGTTATCACTTATCACTTACCATTTCGTACATGACCACACCGACACCCCACCAATCTACGGCCCTGCCGTAATCATTGTCTTCCAGCACTTCTGGTGCTAAATATTCGGGTGTTCCACAAAACGTCTTTGTCGTCCGCCCATAAGTTATGTCCTCCTTGCAAAGACCGAAATCTGCAATTTTGATATGACCGTCTTTGTCCAGGAGAAGGTTTTCCAGTTTCAGATCTCTATAAATGATACCCTGAAAGAAAAATCATAGAGAGACATCTGATGAGTATCCAAATATGTATTAGCTTATTTTTATTTATTTACCTGAGAATGTAGATATCCAAGGGCTGATATAATTTCAGCTCCATAGAACCTCGTCCTCTCTTCAGAAAAGATTCTATCTCTACTCAGATGAAAGAATAATTCACCACCGTTTACATACTCCATAACAAAACACAATCGATTAGGAGTTTGGAAAGAATATTTCAAAGACTGCAATAGAAATAAGAATAATAATATAGAAAAAGAATAATAGAAACAATCTTGGGTGAATTTTGTTTCTACTACTTACAATTAAAAATGGGTGTTTTGTCGTCCTCAGCACTCTATTCTCTGTTAAAGTGTGCTCTACTTCATCTTTTTGTATGATGACTTCTTTCTTGAGAATTTTGATGGCGTACAAATGCTGTGTTGCTTTTTCTCTGCACAGAATTACTTTACCAAAGGTGCCTTTGCCTAAAACTTTCAGGAACTCAAAATTCTCCAAAGTCTGAGGAGAAAAAGACAATAAATCAATGATTCTATACATGTAGTTAGTATCATAATTATAAAATTTAATTTAATTTTTTTTTCAGGAAGGACTACATCACTTGTAGCTCAAGAGTTTGATTTATGTTTTCAGGCAGCCTACAAAATTTTCAGATAGTCCAAAATGTGTTTAGATAGATTCATACATAATCATCTTCAGACTGTGCGAAACATTTGTAGACATTGTAAAGATTTCAGACAGTCCAAAAAGTCGCCAGACAGTCCAAAAAGTCGTCAGGCAGTCCAAAAAGTTTTCAGACAGTCCAAAAAGTTTTAAGACAGTCCAAAAAGTTTTAAGACAGTCCAAAAAGTTTTAAGACAGTCCAAAAAGTTTTAAGACAGTCCAAAAAGTTTTAAGACAGTCCAAAAAGTTTTAAGACAGTCCAAAAAGTTTTCAGACAGTCCAAAAAGTCGCCAGACGGTCCAAAAATTAGTCAGACGGTCCAAAAAGTCGCCAGACGGTCCAAAAATTAGTCAGACGGTCCAAAAAGTCGCCAGACGGTCCAAAAATTAGTCAGACGGTCCAAAAATTAGTCAGACGGTCCAAAAATTAGTCAGACGGTCCAAAAATTAGTCAGACAGTCCAAAAAGTTGTCAGACAGTCCAAAAATTTGTCAGACAGTCCAAAAATTAGTCAGACAGTCCAAAAATTAGTCAGACAGTCCAAAAATTAGTCAGACAGTCCAAAAATTAGTCAGACAGTCCAAAAATTAGTCAGACAGTCGTCAGGCAGTCCAAAAAAGTAGTCAGGCAGTCCAAAAAAGTAGTCAGGCAGTCAAAAAAGTAGTCAGGCAGTCAAAAAAGTAGTCAGGCAGTCAAAAAAGTAGTCAGGCAGTCAAAAAAGTAGTCAGGCAGTCAAAAAAGTAGTCAGACAGTCCAAAAAGTTGTCAGACAGTCCAAAAAGTAGTCAGACAGTCCAAAAAGTAGTCAGACAGTCCAAAAAGTAGTCAGACAGTCCAAAAATTAGTCAGACAGTCCAAAAAGTCGCCGGACAGTCCAAAAAGTCGCCAGACAGTCCAAAAAGTCGCCAGACAGTAAAAAAAGTCATCAGACAGTCAAAAAAGTCATCAGACAGTCAAAAAAGTCATCAGACAGTCAAAAAATTAGTCAGGCAGTCAAAAAAGTCGTCAGACAGTCAAAAAATTAGTCAAGCAGTCCAAAAAGTCGTCAGGCAGTCCAAAAAGTCGTCAGGCAGTCCAAAAAGTCGTCAGGCAGTCCAAAAAGTCGTCAGGCAGTCCAAAAAGTCGTCAGGCAGTCCAAAAAGTCGTCAGGCAGTCCAAAAAGTCGTCAGGCAGTCCAAAAAGTCGCCAGACAGTCCAAAAAGTCGTCGGACGTCCTGGGACTCCGTCAGACGTCCTGGGACTTCGTCGGACGTCCTGGGACTTCGTCGGACGTCCTGGGACTTTCTCAGACGTCCTGGGACATCCTCAGACGTCCTGGGACATCCTCAGACGTCCTGGGACATCCTCAGACGTCCTGGGACATCCTCAGACGTCCTGGAACATCCTCAGACGTCCTGGGACTTCCTCAGACGTCCTGGGACTTCCTCAGACGTCCTGGGACTTCCTCAGACGTCCTGGGACTTCCTCAGACGTCCTGGGACTTCCTCAGACGTCCTGGGACTTCCTCAGACGTCCTGGGACTTCCTCAGACGTCCTGGGACTTCCTCAGACGTCCTGGGACTTCCTCAGACGTCCTGGGACTTCCTCAGACGTCCTGGGACTTCCTCAGACGTCCTGGGACTTCCTCAGACGTCCTGGGACTTCCTCAGACGTCCTGGGACTTCCTCAGACGTCCTGGGACTCCGTCGGACGTCCTGGGACTCCGTCGGACGTCCTGGGACTCCGTCGGACGTCCTGGGACTTCGTCAGACGTCCTGGGACTCCGTCAGACGTCCTGGGACTCCGTCAGACGTCCTGGGACTTCCTCAGACGTCCTGGGACTTTGTCGGACGTCCTGGGACTTCGTCAGACAACTTTAAACGCTCTCAGACAACTCGGAACGTTCTCAGACAACTCAGAACGTCTTCAGACAACTTGAATCTTTATCACAAGGTTCTACGTCTGCCATTAATAACGTTTAACTTTGTTGGCGAACGTAAAAAATAAACTATGATCTACAATGACACTTACAACTTTCTTCTTTCCACTGAATTTGCCTGTTGATGTACCCTGCAACGAAAATTTGGCCGATAACTCATCTTCAGCAACCTCAGCTGCCATATCGACATCATCATTCAGACTTTGTGAATCCTCAGAATTTGCCAGACGATTTGAAACATAACGAATTGCTTCCATCCAACCTTGGCGTTCCTAAAAAAATAGAAAAGACACAGAAATCAGCACAAGAAAATACTGGAAAGTAAAACCTGAATTATTCTGGTATACCATTACCATTGTATAAAAAGTACAAAAATATAAAAACTGAATTGACAATTGATGTCAATTTCAAACAATGTCAGGTTTTTTTTATAAATATTTGTACTATTTCAAGATTATCTTACTATGACCATTGCGTACTCCAAGCAGATATAAAATTCTGGCATAAACAATATACTAAATCTCCTGATAAGTAAATTTTTACTAATTAACGTGCCCATATTTGCAATATCTAGAATACTATGAACACTATCTTATTTTTATTGTCGAATGACAAGATAATAATAAATATATAATGATGCTTACAAATTCAGGATGCATTTTATTGAATAATACTAATTTTGCCAAAAATATTCAACTTGCTACCTAATTTTAGGAGTGTTTAAGTCATTCTGAATCGTTTGACACCAAAATTGCAAAAATAGGACGCTCTTGAAAAAGTAAGCAGGGCTCTTAAGAAAGCAAGCAGGGCTCTTATGAAAGTAAGCAGGGCTCTTAAAGAGGTAGACAGGACTCTTACAAGTAGGCAGGACTCTTAAGAAAGTAAGCAGGGCTCTTGAAAAGTAAGCAGGGCTCTTGAAAAGTAAGCAGGGCTCTTGAAAAGTAAGCAGGGCTCTTAAAAAGTAAGCAGGGCTCTTAAAAAGTAAGCAGAGGACTCTTAAAAAGTAAGCAGAGGACTCTTGAAAAGTAAGCAGAGGACTCTTGAAAAGTAAGCAGGACTCTTGAAAAGTAAGCAGGACTCTTGAAAAGTAAGCAGAGGACTCTTGAAAAGTAAGCAGAGGACTCTTGAAAAGTAAGCAGAGGACTCTTGAAAAGTAAGCAGGACTCTTGAAAAGTAAGCAGGACTCTTGAAAAGTAAGCAGGACTCTTGAAAAGTAAGCAGGACTCTTGAAAAGTAAGCAGGACTCTTGAAAAGTAAGCAGGACTCTTGAAAAGTAAGCAGGACTCTTGAAAAGTAAGCAGGACTCTTGAAAAGTAAGCAGGACTCTTGAAAAGTAAGCAGGACTCTTGAAAAATGTAAGCAGCGGACTCTTGAAAAATGTAAGCAGCGGACTCTTGAAAAATGTAAGCAGCGGACTCTTGAAAAATGTAAGCAGCGGACTCTTGAAAAATGTAAGCAGCGGACTCTTAAAAAATGGTAGGCGGAGGACTTAAAAAATGGTAGGCGGAGGACTCTTAAAAAATGTAAGCAGAGTACTCTTAAAAAATGTAAGCAGAGGACTCTTGAAAAAATAAGCAGAGGACTCTTGAAAAACTAAAACCTGGAGGACTCATGAAAAAAATCTGTAGGGGCTAAAAGAAAAAAAACTGTAGGACTACTCTTGAGAAAAAAAAACCTGTAGGACTCTTGAAAAAAACTGTAAAATGAGCCGTAAAAAGCCTTTTAAAAAAACTGTATTACTTAAAAATTGTGCAAGACTCTTAAAAATTATTAGTCCTAAAAATTGTGTTAGACTGAAAAACTATGTGAAAATCTTACAAAAAAATATGTACAACTCTTAAAAAGAATCTGCAGGACCCTTAAAAATTATTTACAGCCCTCAAAAAATTGTTTAAGGCTCGTAAAAAATGCGCAAAGACCTCAAAAAATTGTGTAAGGTTCGTAAAAAATGTGCAAAAACCCTCAAAAAATATGTAAAACTTATAAAAAATGTGCAAAGCCATCAAAAAATCCTAAAAAGTTTGCAAAGCGCTCAAAAAATGAGTAAAGCCCTCAAAAAGTCTGAAGCTTAAAAAATAATGAAAGCTCTCAAAAAATTGGGTAAGGGTCGTAAAAAATGTGCAAATCCCTCAAAAAATATGTAAAGCTCCTAAAAAATGTGCAAAGCTATATAAAAATCATTAAAGCTCCTAAAAAGTTTGCAAAGCGCTCAAAATGTCTATGAAGCCCTCAAAACAGTCTGAAGCTTAAAAATAATTAAAGCTCTCAAAAATTGGGTAAGAAAAAAAAACCTGGAGGACTCTGGGAATAAAAACCTGGAGGACCCTTGAAAAAAAATCCTCGACTACTCTTGAAAAAAAATTCTATTGGACTCTAAAAGAAAAAACTGTCTGTAGGACTCTTAAAAAAACTGTAAAATGAACCGTAAAAAGCCTTTAAAAGGAACTGTAAGACTTAAAAATTGTGCAAGACTCTTAAAAATTGTACAAGTCCTAAAATTGTGTTAGACTGAAAATTATGTAAAATCTTACAAAGAAATATGTAAAAATCTTACAAAAAAATATGCAGGACCCTTAAAAAATATTTACAGCCCTCAAAAAACTGTTTAAGGCTCGTAAAAATGTGCAAAGACCTCAAACAATTGTGTAAGGGTCGTAAAAGTTTGCTCAAAAAGTCTATAAAGCCCTAACAAAGTCTGAAGCTTGTAAAATAATTAAAGCTCTTGGAGCCAAACTTGCTTCAAGTTAGATTATAGCGTGCCATGACATTAATAATATAGAAACAAAAGTATGTATAGAAAATAATATTCTAAATCAATGTCTAATAAATCATTGTAAATTAGTCAATTATTGAGTTTTAATTAAATATACTTTAGTATTTATGGAATGCGCTCCAGCTCTCAAAAAATTTGGTAAGGCTCGTAAAAAATGTGCAAAGCCGTCAAAAAATCTGTAAAGCTCCTAAAAAGTTTGCAAAGCCCTCAAAAAATCTATAAAGCTCCTAAAAAGTTTGCAAAGCCCTCAAAAAGTCTGTAAAACCCTTACGTGTTCTGATTTTAGTATCAAACGACTCAGAATGACTCGAAAAGTTGCCCTATAAACATCTCTTTCAGGAATTCAAGTCAACTATCTTTATCTACTCACCACATCGCTCTCCACATGGAATGTCCTCTCAATGACCTGCGTCCACTGCAGGCCCCTTATCACGAATGTGTAGGGCTTCGGTCTGTCCTGGGACATGATCTGACACCCCTTGACCGTGAATTTATTAAGGGGCTCACCCAGACAATTCGAGACAGGCCTGTTTTTGAATCCGACCAGGTTTCCATCGTCAAACAGAATGAAGTATCTCGATCTCCAGTTCCTGATGTGTTCGCCTCTTTTGTAGAGGAATCCCTCTTTGACGATGTTGGCAGGGGTGCTGAAGGCGTTGTCGGCGGCCAGAGCTATCTCTGCCATTTTGGTGTTGGCGACTCACTGAAACGGTCTGAAAAAAGAAAATTATATATATATACTTTGTCCTTTCGTAGAACTACTAATTTAAATTAAAGCATTTATTTCTTATCAAATATGTTTGAATTGTAGTAGGATTGACGGATTGCATTCAAAATTTATTTTCCATATTCTTAATCAAATAAACATACTTGTTTACATCTTGCTTAAACTCGATAACATCCTAGAATAAAACTCATTAAGATTTTCTTATAAAATATATACAGATAAAGGATAAATAAGTATCATATAAATGCACATTAAAGATAAAATGAGTTCTTCTACACTTATGTATTTATTCAGCAAGTTTTAGGCATTTTTTAGGCATTTCATGTAAATCTGCCTTTTTGTGGGGCACCTAATTCATTATCGAATGCACACGAGACTCCAATTTGAACGTTGCAATTTACATTTGACAAATTTTGCATTGTGGAATGTATTTTGGATAACAATCTCAGGTGGCTTTAAATATTTATACTTTTGCAGCCTGGATGTAAAAAAATGTACATCAAAGTACATATTGCACAGTGTACACATAACCAAACAAATTTTTTGTTAATCAAACTGTGTAAGAACTTTGTAAGAAGAATAATTTAGTCTTGAACATAAATGTTGTAAAAACGACAAGACTGAAGAAGTCTTCATTATGAAGAAAAAAGTACAGGGCTTATTCCTAAAGTTTGTGTCAGAATTAAATTGTATTACTATAAGTAACACAAGCAAATGCATTTCAACCTAACCTGACATTAATTGTAACCAAAAACCTGCAAAATAAAACTTTAATCATTTTGGGGGTTAAACATCCCACGTACCCAAACAAAAACACTCGACATCCAAACAAAAACCAAAAACTCCATTACAATTATCAACAGCCATTACTTAATCAAACTGCGCACTAAATCCCTCATAAATATTATTATTTACTCCATTACGTGAATCTTTTTACCTTGAATTCAAAATAGTAATCACCAAAAAATCTTGTCCATTCTGCCGCATGCGGGGGGCACTGATCGACACATTAATAGAACTAGGATGTAATAGAAATATTTTGTGGTTGTTTTAGTTTGTTTAGTAATGGAATTTTGCACTTTTAAATCACTTTTTTGTTGAATTTTGTGATTTTTATTCTGTTCTGACGCACATACCACACACACGCCACAGAGACAGAGCGAGGCGTTAGATGGGGGATAGGACGCGAGAAAAATATGGCGATTGCAGCGCTTGGTGGCGGATGGATGAACATTATTCGGTTGACAGTTTCGACTTTATTTATATAAATATTTATTTATATAAATAAAATATATAAATATTTATTTTGTTTAAATACTTATTAAATTCGCATTATTATTATTAATTCAATATTTTTTATATCCATTAAATTAAATCTGCCTGCAGACTCTTTGTTTGACATTTATTAAATGACACCTCGTTTGACACATGTTTGACAGTTGTGACAGTTGTTGGCAATGTTTATTTACATGTTTATTTCATTATTTTAGGTAATTATTTATTATTTCTCGTATTTTACTTTATTTATATTATCATTTAATAATTCATTATTATTTATATATCTATTAAATTAAATCTGCCTGCAGCCTATTCGTTTGACATTTATTAACTGACACCTCGTTTGACAGTTGTGACAGCTCTTGACAATGTTTATTTAATTATTTTAGATAATTATTTATTGTTATGCGTATTTTACTATATTTATATTATCATTTAATAATTCATTATTATTTATATATTTATTATATTAAATACTCTTCTTTTATCTATAATTAAATCTGATTGCAGACCATTTGTTTGACATTTATCAACTGACACTCTGTTTGACAGTTGTGACATTTGACATAATTTTATTTATATATTCTTTCACACATTATCTTTATTTGAATGTTTATTCTATTTAAAATATAACTTAATATAATATAATTCATTATTATTTATATAGTTATTTAATTAAATCTTGTTACAGATCTTTCGTTCGATATTAATTTCTGATAACTTGTTTGACAGTTGTGACAGTTGCTGACAATGTGTATTTAAATATTTATTTCATTTTTGTAGGTAATTATTTATTATTTCACGTATTTTACTATATTTATATTATCATTTAATAATTCATCATTATTTATATTTATATATTATATATTTATATATTATATTATATTATTTATATATTTATTAAATTAAATCTGATTGCAGACCATTCGTTTGACATTTATTAACTGACACTTTGACAGTTGTAACATTTGATATTATTTTATTTATACATTATTTTTATTTGCATGTTTATTCCATTTTAAATATAACTTAATAATTGATTATTATTTATATATTATAGTTATTTAATTAAATCTTGTTGCAAATCTTTCGTTCGATATTAATTTCTGACACCTCGTTTAACAGTTGTGACAGTCGCTTAATTTTTGTAGGTAATTATTTATTATTTCACGTATTTTACTATATTTATATTACCATTTAATACTCCATTATTATTTATATGTATTTACATGTGTATTGTTTCATTTTTTTGACTATTTCAATAATATAATATGCCTGCAGACCAAGCGACATGTGTATTGTTTCATTTTTTTTGACTATTTCATTAATATAATATCTATTAGAATTAAAATATCGTTATATATAACTCTTTAGTCTTTTTTGTCTTCAATTTCCTTATAGTATTTCTTTATTTTTCTTTTAAATTGTTCGCGGTTTTTTGCACGCCATTTTGCCATTTGTATAATCATTGATTATACAAATGCGGAATTGTGTCATTGAATAGTTAAACTGGGAACGGACATTGGCATAATAATATTTATTTTATTTAAATAATTAATAATTAATTATTATTTATATACTAGCTGACCCGGCGAACTTTGTTCCGCTTTAACAAAATATAAATTAACAACAATTAATATATAACTATTTACATTTTTATTACAAATTTAGAAGTTATGTTAAGAAACTATATTGCAAAATGATTTTTTTATTAATTTGTTAATGATTATACTTATTGCTGATTAAAAACACGTCAAATACTCTATTTAATAAGTATAAACAAATATACATAAATACCTAAGTATATAAATAATTACATTCCCATGTTCAAGAAATAAATTTCTCCATCGTCCATGTGGCATCGCTTGCTAATTAAAAAATTAATTAATTTAAAAAATTTATATTAATATATTTGTATCAAAACCAAAACACCGGTTGAGAGTTAATTGAAAGTAAATGCCATGGATAAAATATGAACCATAGATTTAATAAACTAAATATTGGTTTATAATTAATTAATTTTGAATTTGAATGAAAAAATAAAATATATCCTATAAAATTCATATCATATGTCCTTCTCCTGGTTCTAAACTACCTCCCTGCCAATTTTCAGCTAAATCGGTTCAGCCGTTCGTATGTTATAAGTGTTGTAACTAACACGATATACACGTATATATAAAATATATATATATATATATATATATATATATATATATATAATTAGATATAGAATGAGCCAAACAAATCAAAGTATCAAAGCACTTTTGATCCGTATCTCCAAAACGCGTAGACCTACCTTTCCAAAAAAATTATCATCGTCATATAAAGTTAAATAAATATGTCTTATAATTTTTGAATAAAGTTTTATTGGTAAATAACATTACAATGGCCACAGAAATGAGATGTACAGATATGATAATTAACATCAGGCGTTTTTTTTATTCATTATTTATATTATTAATATTCATAATATTAATTAATCAAACAAATCAATCAAATCTTACGTAGAAAGGGTTATATATTTATGTTCATTTCGTCGTCTTCGTACATGTACCAATTAATAATTAATTAATTAATTATTAATTTTTTTTTATTTTATTAATTAGCCACCAAAACATTTACCTATATAAAACATATCTGTTTGCGAAATGAACTTTTTCAGGTGGAGACAACTCCACCGGGCGGTTTTTTTAAAACTACAGCTTTTTTCTTTCCTGCACATCTAAGTGTAATTTTATTTTATTTTTTTTAATTATTTATTATCAATTACACACATGACACTAACTATTTATAAGATTTTTTCGTTATTATCAATAATTATCATTATTAACTATATGGAACCTAAAAAACAAACGTTTCTTTTTTTTATATATATATATATGTCATTTGTCAGAGATTTTTGAAGAAAATATTATTATTGCAATTAAACTGTACATTCAAGTATCAAGCTTCGATATTTTAAATTTTTTTCACTTATGCGATAGTTTTTTTTTAATTATATTAATTTACGATTATAATTATTATTTATATATTTATAGGTGATTAAATCTTAATGGTAATGTGTGAAATTATGCAAACTTTTTCGAAATTTTGAATTGGCTAATAAAACTTGTTTATTAAGACTCACGTACGTTTCGAATCCCAATTTGATCCATCACCAGTGTAATAAAGATGACTCAAATGAAATTCGAAACGTATTTAGGACTATTTAATTGATAAAAAAAATCTATTTAATGAGAGAACTTTCTTGTAAACTATTATTTACTTTGCAAACTGATTTTCAAAAATTCATTACTCCGGCTCTGTTCAAGCTAGAGCTTTGAAATTTGTGTCATTTCGAAGCTAAAGCTATATATTTTCATACAAAAATAAATTTTATTACCAAATTTTAATCGTTGTTAATAAAAAAAAATTGTTGAAAGGTACTATTAATATGTTGTCGATGCAAGTACCTTATTTTCAGTTCTTAATAACAATAAGAATTTGTTAAACAATCGCTATTAAAATTATTTTTGTTTAAAACTATATTGTTTTAGCTTTTAAATAAACCAAAAATAAAGTCTATAATTTAAACAGAACCGGAGTTATAAATTTTGGAAAATAAATAGTCAAGGTAAAAATTACCCAAAGTTAAGAAAGCCCTCTTTTCAAAAATTCATTACTCCAGCTCTGTTCAAGCTAAAGATTTACATTTTGTGTCATTTTGAGGCTAAAACTATATATTTTCATGCAAAAATAAATTTTATTACCAAATTTTAATTGTTATTATTAAAAAAAAAATTCTTGAGAGTAAAGCATTAGCGAGTACTACTAATTTTGTTTATTTTCAGTTGTTAATAACAATAAGAATTTGTTAAATAATCACTATTGCAATTATTTTTGTATGAAACTATATTGTTTTAGCTTTTGAATAAACCAAAAATATAATCTGTAATTTAAACAGAACCGGAGTTATAAATTTTGGAAAATAAATGGTCAAGGTAAAAATTACCCAAAGTTAAGAATGCCCTTCAAAAAAAAAAAAAAAAAAAATTAAAAAAATTCGTTGCAGCCAATTCAAATTCGAAATTTTTATTTAAGTTTGCATTTTTAACTCGAAAAAGTGTCAAGAAATACAAAAGTATATTTATTCTGTTATTTAGATAAGTGTTCGCTGTTTTTTTTATAAAAAATAAATTTTGGAAAATAAAATTCATAGGTTAAAAGAAAATTGACAAAAATAATAAATGATAAAAAATAGATGTAAATCAATTCTAAATGTAAATAGTTAATGTAATTTCTTTATTAGTTACAAAAAAAAGAACAAATTTGGTGCACTGAAGATGGTAAAAATGTTCAATCAAAACGTGTGAAAATAAAAATAAAAATCAAAATCAAAAAATTACAAAAAACTGAAACACTGAAGATGCCAAAAAAGTCCAACCGAAACGTGTGTCAACCAATAAAATAAAAGCTTTTTTTTAATTTTCTTTTACAAATATCGTGTAGCTTGATTCCATATGACAAATAAATAAAATATGAATAATTCCATTATTATTATTATTATTATTATAATTACATACATGATATTTTTCAATGATGAATTCTTCAAAATTTTCTTAAATTAATTATTAATTAATTAATATCAGCAGAAGCGTGCTAATTAATTAATGAATGAATTGTCGATTTAATTTAATTAATGATATTTAATTCGCTACAAATTAATACTGGATTGATTTGAACTCGAAGTTATTATAATAATGTATGTATTTATGTGTATCACTACATGGGAGGAGTGGAAATTAGAGAAAGTTTGAGTAAAATTAGTCCGGCCCTGTACTAGATAAATTTTCCCGAAAACAAAAACTGTATATCTCAATTCCAAAAATTATT